GGGGGGGGGGGGGCTTACAGAAAGTCTAAAAATTGAGACTAGAAAGTCTAAATTTGGTCTGTCTGTCTATCAATATTTAGACTTTCTAGACTATCGGGAATGACCCATTCGGTCCATACATTCTTGCCTTCCTACCGGTACGTACCGGTACATGGTAAAATCTTTTATCTTCAATTATGTCCCTGTACGGTAGACTGACAACACCCTTTCTGTACGTACCATTTGTACTGAGTACAAGGGGTTATTTAAAATATGCCGTGAAATCTCCAAAATCTTCAAAACGAGAACCTCGCTTTAGGCAAACTTCTCCTATCCACTTTAAAAACCAATCAAGAACTATCCAGCTCCTACCGCACACCATATTGATCCTCCGTATCCATCCCCCTTGCACCCAGCCTCCACATCCAGCCTCCACATCCAGCCTCCGCGTCCTCCGCTTCCTCCGTATCGATCCTCCGCATCCTTCTTCCATCTCCATCCCCCTCGCATCCAGCCTACGCATCGAACCTACGCATCAAGCCTCCGCATCGATCCCCCCATCGCATCGTCATCGAAATCTCCAGAACCTTACGGTATTTTCATCGACCAACATGAAAGCCGCCCTTCTGTTTTTGCTACTAGGAGCGTGCACAGGAGAATCCCCCGTGCAGGTCTCGAATGGTGCCGAACAATCCCCTCGTCACCGCAGGGGGCTGTCCCCTTGGTCATCTAGAAATGATCCCTATGAATGTTTCAATGAATATGGTTCATCATCATCAAGTAAAGACTATTTTTTCGGTTTTTCAGGACAAGATATAGGTGACTTTGGTGGTGCCATTGGAACGTTACCGGTTTGCCTCATCGAGGTGGAAAGTAATCCAGTCACAAATTCCATGTCTACTCGTCCGATGCGCCCAAGCCTCGGTAATGGGATCATCGGCCTTTCGCCTTCCTGTTCGTTCAGCGGAGATACTCCAACAAGGTGTAACAACAACGAAACAGATGTCATTTCCTCCCTAGTGAAGTCTGGTTCCATTTCTAGTTTTCAATTTACTATGTGCTTTGAAGAAAATGGAGGCAACTTATATCTCGGACCTGGGCAGTACCCCGAATCGACCAAGTGGTTCCCCGCGAATCCATTCATAGCATCCGGTGGAGAGGGCCCATTTTGGAGTTTGAAAGGGCCAAGTGATGGAAGTTCTGTTGGTATTCTTGCGCGTGGTTCTGATGGTCATGAAACGTCCATTGGGGAAATAACAAGCACTGAATATAATGAGGGTTGGGTTTGCGTTGATAGCGGAACCTATGGCTTTATATTTCCACAAAAGTTCAATTCTATGATCTTAAGGAAAATTGCGAATGTTTGGGCGGATGACGAAGAAGCTACACAGATTTTCGCCTGTTATTCTGTGGATTGCATGCTAAAGGTACTAGAAAAGCTTCAACAGTCTCTTGAGCTTCGAAAGGAAGAAGCAGATCACCTCAATTCTCTTGTTCCAGACCTTGTTTTTCGAGGTTTTGACGGAGGCGACATTGTAGTTGATGGAAGTTTGTTGTTGTACGAGACATACCCTTCCAGTGGAATTTATTTACAATCATGGCAACCCGGCAATGAACTTTGTTTTGGAACTGGCTTTCTTTTGTACAAGACTGTGGTGTTTGACAACAGTGAACCTTCAACCCCAAGAATTGGTATTGTGTCTGAAGAAGGTGGGGATTGCAATGAACACGACTACAGTGAAAAAGGAAATATTGTTAAGATGTCAGCACCGGGAGGCCTATCAAACTTATTACAGTCTGGAACATACCTAGGAGAGATTGAGTTTGGAGGGCAAACGCAACTTGTGCAGCTAGATACCGGATCTCAAATGTTCATGCTTCCAAACAAACCATCCTGCATGCAGATGGATGCGTGGCCAGATTCGTGTCTCAACATATTTTGGGTTGGTGACGGCATCGTATACGCATATGTCAACAAGGATGATGGCAAATGTTCAAAGTACGCTCCCCTGATAGCTAGTAGTAACTACGACTCCCAACTTACCCTCGATGGCTTTGTCGGCTATTATGTCGGCCCGCCGGTAGATTTCCTTCGTACCTTGATGGAAGTTCAACCTTTTGCAGAATGCCAACCGCTAAGAGCATATTGTGGGRAAAAAAAAGGATATCGCAAAGACTTGTCTCCGTCTTTCCATTATTTTCCAATAGGTTCGAACCTCACCTTGGGCGAATGGAAAAAACCACCGGATCAACTTTCTCCAAGTGTTGTTTCTGCCTTTGCCAGTGACATTGGCATTGAAGTAACCTGTAGCATGACTGGTGCGCCGAGTGACGAGGACGGCGGTGAATCTGATCATGAGGAGGAAGGAGGTAAAAAGAGTAAAAAAARCAAAGGGAAAGGCACAACAAGTAACAAGCGGAGCAAAGGAAGTAAGAAAAAGTCTCCGTCCTAGCCCCGCTGGGACTCCGAGTTGTAACGCTGTTTTCTGGTCATCCTACTTTCAAGCTATCACCAGCTCTACCCACCAAAACCCCTAGTGCCAGAGGAGGGAAAGGCTGCAATCATTTGGCAACGAAGGTACAGACTATTAGTACTAATGGCATAATACAACAAAGCAGGTATGGCGGCAAAGCTTGGAGAGGGCCTTGAATTTGTTCACGTCCCAGTTAATACTTCTTCGTACACGATCATCCGAAGAACACGGTATTCAACTGCTTCGATGATGCCATTACAATTTGGACAGAGCATCGTTTTCCAATGCTCGGTTACAAATTACGAAAMACTTTTGGTGTAAGCGTTTGGGCGTCGTGGTTGCGAAGCGCTGTGGGTGCCACGCAATAATAAATTAGATTAGCACGAAGAACAAAAGATGCTTGTAACTCTCTTGTGTCTTTCTTTATTTGATACTCATATACAAGTTTGGGATTCTTTGATTGGAATGCACGGGTACGAGTACCTTGGTTAATCGTCCACATACGTAAATGTATATTGTGCGGTAGGCATTGAACTGTTGTACTTGTTCATTCAAAWGGAAATTATTTTCTTTTCAAGTTCAACTTGATGGTGATGTCATTCTKTTTTATTCTCAAACATAGCAACTCCGTGCAACAAGCCTAGTACCAGGTTGCGTTAMAGCGCTGGGGTGCATTCTTTGAAACTATCGTTCCTTTCCAATCAATGAGACAACCTCTTCGTTTGGTTCCTTGGTTGGACTGCTTCGATCTTCGCCGTTGCTGCTTCGGATACCGGCGCCGTTGCTTTGGACGGGTATCGTGGATGGTATTTCTTGCATTTCTACGGACGGCAGGTTCTTTGTTTGGTGCAGCGTCGAAAACGCTTCGTACCAGAGATGCTTTGGAGACACGCTCGGAGCTACGATGGCCGCCAGGTACGACATTCCGAGGAACCCGTCAAAAAAGAAGATGCCAGCGATCGCGAAACAAATGATTRTGAGGGCCGTGAATGGATGTGCCATCGCTCCGGGCTGCTTTGGAGGCACGGGCAATCCCTTGTTCGGGATCGGCAGGAGCCAGTCGAGGGCGTTGCACAGAATCTGCGTCCCAGCCGAATAAACGTGGTGGGGATAATGCACGCCGTCGAAACTCTCCGATACCCGCGTGGAAGTAAACGATTCTCCATCGATGACAAACGAGGATGCGGACAGGATTCCTTTGTTTTCGTAAAGTTCACGGATTACTTTCATTTCTTCCTCGTTGATATTCTTTCGCTTTTGATCGCTTAGTGCCGCAGTGTTCATGGTAGTTGGAGTAATCCAAACGACKGGTACCTTTAGTTTTCTGAGCTCTTCCATCTTAATCTTTAGGTTTTCCAAGGAGGACTTGACGGCTTCCTTTTCTTCGTCTGTGTTGTACATGTAATTCTTGTCCCATGTMCCCCCTCCGAGTACCACTAGATCTAGATTGTGGTCATCGGCATTGTTCAACGTCAGGTTGCCGATGGACTCCACGAGCTCGGTAGAAAGGGCTGCCCATTTGAATTCCACGCTTAYGTCACCAACCTCCTGGGACAGGTTTGCGTGCTTTTCTATTGTAGTGTCGTAAGCACCGGCGTCGSCAATACCGAGCTGGCGGCAAAAGGAATGGTACATGTAGCGGGTGATGGAGTCCCCGACGAAGTAGATCGTTCGGTCCTTGAGATGCTTCTTGAGGCTCTTTGTGTCGCGCTGCTTGAATCGGCAGTGGGATGCGGAGGCTTGGTCGTCCCACCCCCAGACCGAAACGGGGTTTTGCGCCGAACACGTCGATACGGTCGAAACACCAAACTTGCGGTATTCTTCCCCCCGGGGCCCTTCGTCGCATCCGTTGAGCGACATCCATTGGCCCTTGTTGGCATAGGCTCCGCACGAAGGTGGCAGGGACTGGATTTTCCCGGCGCCCCTTACGGCCATGGTKTGCCATCCRGCTCCAACCATCATCACCGCCATCGCGGCAACGGCACAGGACGTCACCATTGMGTTCTTCGGGTTGTTGTTGCTGCTGCCCCTGGAAGGCTGCTCGACGTCCGAGGCCCGATCCGAGTTTGTGAACTGAAGCAAAAAGGAATAGAGTGCGAAACCACCGCAAACGGAAACGAGGCCCACCGTCCCCAGGCYGAGGAGGCTCTGGGACTCGAGGAAGCTGGCGAGGCCGCAAAAAGAGGCAATGATTGCGATCATGCCTCCAAGGTTTCGAAAGCAGGCCGAGCGGTCGTCCGGGAGCATCATTCCCCTCAGGTAGAGGGTAAGCTGGTACAGCCGGCGGCTMAACGTCACATAAATCACCGACACGAGCAAGAAGTTCACCTTGGGCCAACCCGGAACCAGCGTCAGGAGGCTCTTGGCATCAGAGGTGAGCCAGATGTGGTGCTGCATCAAGTAGGTCTCCAGGGTGGTCTTTCCGATCTGGTGGAGCAGGTCGAGGCTGTGGTTCCTCAGAAATGGAGTCAGGTTCCGGAAATAGATGTAGGTGATGAGAGGAATGATACCGTAGTAGGCATTGGTCTGGTTGTAGTCGAACTTGCCCTGCATAAAGGGCCCTGTGACCCAGAAGTAAAATACGGCAAAGAGCGCAGCTCCCGTCATGCCCTTGGCCAAATAGTGCTGAACTGGGGGCAGKGACTCGAGCTTRCGGTAGAACAGACTGGTAATGGGAAAGTTGAGGGCGAAKATCATCCCCATGTAGGTTGACCAGTGATCGAGGCTGGACCGGAAGTACCACTCCCACATCGCCCCACCTGTGGCCCCCATCATGGGAGTCTCCCCGAAAAACGGAAAGTGGATGAGCTTAAAAAGTMCGAGGTTGGTGTCCCATACCAAGTAGATAACGACCCCCAGCACGGCCAGCTTGGTGCGTACCCACCACTTGGTGTAGTTGTGCTCGTGGCCRATCCTCATGACGACGTARACCATGAAAAAGTAGTAGGTGTGCAACAGGCAGATGTAATAGAGGATGAAGGTAGTCCCCTGCGTCAGGCACAAAAAGAGAACCAGAAAATTCAGCCGCCAGAGCATCTGTAGAACGCGGATGATCCCGTAGTCGGCCTTCAGGTAGAAAAAGGAAAAATTCCCAAACCCTGTCATCCAKACGTAGCARGTGATCATGATCCGGATCGAGTTGTAGACCTCCTCGGCGTGGTAGTAGTGGTATAGGAGGAACATGAACTGCATCCAACCCTTCCATTCCTCGGTCTGGTTTCGGTTGAGGACCTCGGTCTTGTCGTTGGCGACGGCGACGGCTCCGTTGCTCCGATTGCCATTCTGGTCCGCTTCGTCGTGCGACTTATCGCCGGGAGCATCGTACGTGGCCAGACTCTTGTCGTCGGGRATGTGCTTCTGCCAGGTAAARGCGGACACCACAAAAAGCAGAAACGTCAAAAAGAAAAACAGGTCGGCGTCGTAGTTCTTGTCGGCGTGTTGGTAAGGCGGGTGGTACTCGCAGATGTAGGCATAAAAGAGGATCAKACCAAAGATSGAGAAGTGGAGTAGGAGGGAGAAGACCGAAAACAGGGACCGGGCCTTCAGCGCCGACGACTTGGGGTGAGACGCGGCCTGGAAGAGGGGCTTGTGGTCCCCCCTAAGGACKGCCCGGACGGCGAGGGCGACGGTCGCAAAGATAATGGTCCCAAATAGCATGGCGCTGGCCATTGTCGATGTGTGAGCTACCGAGGCGGCATCGTACGAATTTTTTATGGTGCTGCTGCTTCCCATGATGAGCCGTATTGTTTCGTTTTGTGCAAATGGATGGGTTTGTCGTTTGTTGTGTCTTGCAACGCGATCTGTCGTTGCSAAGGAATGTATCGGTGGCTCGATCGATCGGTCGATTGATCAATTCGGSCTCGCGGTCGTCTGGTTTCTGGTCTCAGCTGATCGTACACTCCGCTCGGAGGAAGCAGTCCGAACAGAAAGGTGGCAACGGCTCGGGTACGGCACTTTCCGGTGACGAAATCGGGAGCCGTCTTGTGTTTTACTGGACTCTGTCTTGTACGGTACCGAAAACAACACCAGGTATCGGTTGAATCGTCGAAAAATGACCGTGCCATTTGGAATACAGTAAAAGTTTTCGACACGGAAAATCGATAACTCGTCCATAATCGTACGTACCGGTACGGAAGGCGCCGGTCACATAAAAACGGGTCATGCTGTATCGACTTTACGGCAAACACAAGTACGATTACTCGTACCATTATGAGTACTCGTATTACGATTACCCAGCCACCGTATCGAACCAACAGTATTTCTTTTCTAGAAAACACCATCGGTTCGTCATCCATCATCCTACGGTACTATTTTTCAAACCGTTCAGTGCAGTACATACAAGGGACAGTACGGGTACTTACGCTACGTAGGGCTATATTATCACCCCTGACGTAGGGTATGTCGGGCCTGCGCGCCTTTTTCTCCCTTGAATCTTTCACCCGCATGTTCTGAGTTCCRTTCCAGTATTGTACTCTTAAAACATACTCATAATTGGTATTATAACTATGAATAGGTATTGTGAAATGGCAGACGCCATTCCGATGMACTCGAACGAGTCGAAAAACTTTCTTACGTGGCGCGCTGAGCCGCCGTGGTTTCCTGTCTGGAAGCGAGACACAAAACAGCAGCTCTCACCCAACGCTATTCGACGGTATCGTGATGAGTGTTCCGCGTGACGAAGCCGTCATCTTTCGTTTTCTCTACTGTCAACAAAGTAGCAGTACCGGTAGGTACGGTACTACTGTATCCATTCAGTCCATTCAGTGATCGAAGTACAGATTTACACCTGTACACGTTTCTGATACAGCGACAGAGCATAGTTTCTACGTACGGTGCCATACAACACAGTTTTCTTTCTTCTTTCCGTGCTTTCTTTCTTTCTCGCTACGGATTGTCTAGCATACCGTATCGCAAGTCTTCACCTTGTACTGCATTAACGGTGCAGAACGGTATTCGTACTCGTACTTACCTGACCAGCGGGATACGTCCCGGATCCGAGCACCGAGACCGAGCTGACACCTTCGCATACTTTWCCCGCACACCATTACTATTCTTCCACTCCCCGAATATTCGGCCAAGCAACCCAGGCACAAGGAAATCCATCGAAAGCACCGATTGCACCGCACCATTTCGTCGAATCTGCTCTAGCGAAGAACMCGTCGAAAAGATTCCGAAAGATTCGTTTTTGTTCACGGAGCCGCGAATCGAGTTTTGGGTTCGATAGAAACACACACTCGCACGCCCGCAAGCAAGATGAAGTTGGGACTGCGGTATTCGCTCGCGGCAACAACCATTCTGTCGCTGGTGGCACTGCCACCGATCACTGCGTGGTCCACCGGAAGCAGCGGCACCGGCAGGACGACGACGACGACGATCCCGACGACGATCCCAACGACGCGCGGCAGAACCACAACCGCCAGGGTCAGGCGGATGCCCGCGGCGTTYCCCCTGGAGGCATCCAGGACCCCCGAAACCGATGCTCTTCCGCGGTTTTCGTCGCTCTTCAACCGAACCGGGGAAAGCCGAATGGACAGCGGCATCGACCAAACGAACGACGACGGCGGCGCGGCCTATTCGGTGCAGCAACGAGCGTTTCGGTTCGGGAACCAGAACAAGGACCGGAACATCGACAACTTTGACCAAGGAGGAACCGAAACGGCGGACGCGGCGGAGACCGACGGAACCTCGGTCCCGGCGGTGGCCCTTGCCGGACTGGCAGCGGCGACCGGGCTGCTGGTCCTCGTCTCGCAGGGGGCGGATCCCACGGATCCCTCCTCGGTGCTGGCGACGGGGAGCGCGCTGGCGGCCRCCGCGGGKGAAACCCTTTCGGATCCCAGCGCCGCGYTGGACCGCGTCGTGGAGCTGACCGAGTCCATGGGGCCGCTGGGGGTGGCCTATTTCGGGGTGGCCTACTGCATCGCCGAGATCCTCGCCATCCCCGCCATTCCCCTGACGGCCTCGGCCGGGTACCTCTTTGGGCCCGTCCAGGGGACCGCCGTGGTGCTCCTGAGCGCCTCGGTGGCCGCGGGGGTGAGCTTCTGGATCGGCCGCACCTTTCTGCGGGAATACGTCGAGGGCCTCCTGGAGGAAAACCCGAGGTTTGGCAAGCTGGACAAGGCSATCGGCCGGGAGGGCTTCAAGCTGATGCTGCTGCTGCGGCTCTCGCCCATTTTCCCCTTTGCCCTGAGCAACTACCTGTACGGCGCGACGTCCATCAACTTTTCGGCCTTYTTCGGCGGGACCCTGCTGGGCTTTGCGCCCGGAACCATCGCCTACGTCTACACGGGGTACGTCGGGAAGGCCCTCACGGGGGACGCCGGGGGCGACGCCTACCCCTGGTACGTCTACGGCGGGGGCCTGGCGCTGTTTGCGGCCTTTCTCAAGGTGGTGGCGGACGAGGCCACGAGGGTGGTCCGGGAGATCGAGGCGGAGGAGGACGAGGCCCTGGCGGCCCTGGAAGCCACCAAGAGGTGAACGGACGCGGTTGCGTGGGGTGCGGTGCGGTGCATTACGGTGCCGCACCGGGGTGGAGCAGATCGGATCCAAGAACGATTCCATTCGGTTGGATCGATCGTGGCTCCCCGTTCGGTTCGGTTTGTTGCGTTGCGTTGCGTTGAGTTCCCGTCGTGGCAGAGACGCACACTGTGCCTTTTGCCGATTGGGAGACACCCGTGGATGGCAACCAAGGAAACGTCGGCTCGTTTCTTCGAACGGCAAACGGGCAAGCAAGCGAATTTGCTAGCCAGCGTTGCCCATGGGATTGCAAGCTAGCAAGCCTCTTCCATTGTGAGTATCGATGGCAGAARCATGCTTGTTTTGTGTATGACCGACCGAGCGACCCAAGCGAAACACWAGAGACCGATGATTACGRTGCACAGGATGGCTGTGCCGAGAGATGAAASAATAAARTAATAAAAGAACGATACTATTAAATTATGGCACGAAATTTCTGCTGCCATGCAACATGGGAGGACGATTGCGGATGGATTGTTTTTGGCTTGTGTAGCGCGATGGTTGCGGTGTCCACTTTTGCCGCCCGATCCTAGTCTACCGCCAATACKGGTAGGTAACGTGTGTGCGAACGCAAGAAGTGCCGAAATTAGACAAGGGAGAGACGATACCAGTGCAACAATTACTAGCATCGAGCCGTATTTGTACGCAGGCRAACATTTCGTCGCCAATGGTGCTTCAAAGGAACAYCTGCATAGGATACTATCWTGCTCGTAGCATAGAGCCAACGAGGGACACTGCTATATATTTGTGGATAGTTTCAATRTTTTGTGCTGAGTAGGATTGATGAGGAGTACCGAATGCTAATASTAGTTGGATACGAATGCATGGGCATTTCAAGACATGCTTGRTAGCTAAGTGGTATCTTCCCCTTCATTGCCTTCCTCTGTTTTTCGGCTCCCACTCATTTCGGATTTCTCCCCATAGAAACAGCCTTTTCCTGCCATGYCCAACCCAATCAATGGTAGCTTCCTCGGTACTCTTAGCAAATCGTGTTGTTGGTATTTCAAAGAAAAAAATGCGCAAAAATCTCAGATTCGGATTGGAGCAAAAAAATACTGTRGTTTTTCCGCGAAACAGTGGACTACTCCGACCCGGATAAGTCTGTCCTTCAGCCGGATCGACTTTTCACCGTTTCCATGGCAGCGCCGYGCTTCGCTTCCGTACGAAAATTCCGGAGAGCTTCCAAAATTTTTCACACCAATGAACAGCACCGAGACATTCTTGTGAAAGACCAAAGCTACGTAGAATTSCTACGACGGGTACGAGAACAAAAGCTGCGCCTCCGAAAATCACCCCAAAAAAATGCAAACCCTACGGCRSTAGCACTGCCGTAACGATCACTACAAAAGTGGAACAACGAGACTCTGCTGTACATCATCGGTAGTATTTCTACCACATTCAAGAAGACACTCGAATCCTGGCAATGCGACCTGGGACATCGTCAAAAGGAGAYCGGTAGTTCGCAATCAAGGACGTCAAGTGCACGRCAAAGAAGAGGGAGAAGAACAGGGCAGGGAAGGTKCTTTGAAGCATTCTTCTTRGGAGCAGGCACAAAGAAGATTATCGAAGACAAAGCTGTAGAAGAGCACAAGTTAAATAATTTTGAACCATTGCCACCTTTGGTTGTTACTGTTGTTGTTGCCGACGTTGTTTTCCTTTCAAGACGGCGCGGCATTGAATAAAGAAGGTACAGAATGAAGCGAGCACTGGCGGAACGCGCGCTGGCGGAACGGGCTCTGGCCGAGAAGGCGAAACAAAACAACCGAGCGAACCCGAACGGCGCATTCTCTTCGTCTGCTCCGGTGCGGGCTGCCGTTCCGGGCACCACCACCGTTTCCGGCCCTTCTGTGCCACAGCACCCCACCGTTTCCGATTCCACGTCTCGGGCGCCTTCATCTGCGGCGCAGAAAGCGAAAACTCCGGAGCTAAAGATTGAGAAACCATCCCCCGCGATTCCGTCGTCGGGATCGAAGGCTTCTAAAAAGGGGAAGCCGTCCCGGTCGCCGCGGTCGACCTCTGCTTCCTCCTCTCCTCGACCCAAGAAGAGAGCCAGAGAATCACTAGTTAAGCTCGAAGAGGAAGACGAAGACGACTCGAACAGCGCCGCCTTTTATCTGAGACACCAGAACCGTGCTCTAGCGAGCGAACTCCGTTCGGTGAAGTACCAGCTGGCCCGTCTGGAACGAGAACGGGAACACCGGCGAAAGCAATGCTCGGAGGCCGTCCAGAATCTAAACACCCTGAACATCTCGTGGGGGAAGATCGAGGCCGAGCTGGAGCAACAGAGAAACCCCAAGAAAACGGAAGCGAGGAGTGCCACGAAGATTAAGATCCCCGCAAGCGATGCTCCTCTCAGCACTGGATCGGGAAAATCGGTGGAATGGATCGGCGCCCTAAGCAATTCCTTGGCTCGCATAGGAACGACACCGGGATCGTCAAAACCAAAGAAAAGGGGGAAGAATGACGGCGGCACGGTCAAGCAAGAAGAAAGCGAGAACAGAGTCACCAATGACGATAGCATGGACGTGGATTGTGGGAACAATGACCAAGGCAAAGAAGACGMGGAAGATCTGAAAAACGTGGACGACATTGCAAACATTGCAGAAAATATGTCGGAGCGAGTTTCGATTCTGCAAGCTTGGATATGGTCGCTTCTACAAAACCTCGAGAGATCAAACCCTGCCCTGAATGGAGGGTCCAAAGACCCGGAAAYATCACTGCCATCCGCTGCGGAGCTACAACGCCAGGTGTCGCKGGTGGAAGCCGAGAACGTTACTCTTCAAGAACACGTAGAAGARTTGGCGCGTTCCCGAGACGAAATGGTAGAATCGGATCGGAGGGTCCGGCGAGGGCTMTATCGGTTAGCGGCGGGACGTGTCAATCTGAAAGAAGTACTGAAAGCGGTAGCAACCGCCGACGAGGACAAGGAATCCGCGGTAGCATGGATGGAGAGCACCATYGCAGTTGCGGGTTCGAATGCTCCGGGGTCTGGTTGCCCCGCTSCGTCGTCGGGATCGCAAACATTGGACAGTGCAAAACCAGAAGAGGACGGGAAACAACCGGTGTCCTCGAAGGAGGTCGAGCAACTCAAAAAACAAATATCAGATTTGAACACATTGGCTTCTTCGAGGAGCGAACAAATCAAAAAGGTGGGTCTTTTTTTCCGAACACAGCCCTGGACCTTGAAATCTTTTTTTCTTAACTCACGTATTCCTTTTGACTCCGTGATCATTCTCTAAATTTTGGTGGAMTCAATCAACRATTTCAAAACTACGATGCGCATTGAAAAATAGCTTCTTTCCGAGAAAGAAGAACAAACAAAAAAAATTAATAAATTGGTATTGAAGGAAGACAAAACCGCTTCTGACATCCCGAGCAACGACGAAGTAAAGCGCTCAGATTTATACCTGGAATTGACAGCGAAACTAGCAGCAACGACGAGAAATCTTGAGGAGTTGAACGACAAATCGGACATGGCTAAGAAAGAGTGGTCGATTGCGCTTGCGGATGCCGAATTCTCGAAAAAGGCTTTGGAAGACTTGCAAGCAAATTTTTCGAAACGATGGGCAGAGTTGACGGAAGAAAAAACAGAGAAAGGCGAGGCCGCCGAAGGGGAAGGCGAACTTTCCGGGATTAGCAAGGCAAAGGATATAATAACGCTACAGCACAAGCTAACCCAAGCACTCGAGAACGTTCGCCAAGCGGAATCAACACGAAAGACGCTSACCGAAGCTGTAGCAATGAACAATTCACTCCAATCAAAAGTCGAAGAGTTCAAAGCAAAATACAATGCCCTTCAAGCCGAGAAAGCAGCTCGTGCAAGCAATAACCAACACACCAACAGCAATTCTACACCATCCAAAGAAGGATCTTCTTCCTCAAAAACSAAGTCRTCCTCAACTCMCGGGGAGAAAAGTGATAGATCGATYGAAAAGTTACAGAGGGAGTACAAACGAGCTCGCAAAGAGCTTGCAGCAACAACCGCTTCGAAAGATGCTGCCAAAGCGAAACTGGAACGAACAGAGAAAGATAAGGAATTYCTKAACCAAATGAAYTCTAGGCTGTTGAAACAAGCGTCAGAAAAAGACGAAATCAATGCCAAGTCTCTATCAACGATTCTTCATTTGAAACAATTGACAGAACAAATTACGAAGGAAAAGGTGAACCTCGAACAGCAAGTCAAAAGTGCTGGCCAATTAGCGCTGGCAGCCCGTCTCGCTTCCAATGCTAGAGAACGCGTTGCGGAAGAATTCGCCAAACGAGACAAGGTGCTAAAGAAACAGCTGGAGGAATTGCAAAGCAAGTGCTCTGTTCTTGCGAAGGAGAAAGAAAACGCTGAGGGCAAACTGGCACTAGAAAAAGCTCGAATGTCGGGGCTGATAAGCGACGCYCACAAGGCAAAGAACAGGTGCGAGGAGTTGGCTGTTGAATCTACAAAGCTGCAAGAGGAAAAGCAGAAAATAATCGAATCCTTGGCAATTGCAAAGCGCGAAGCATCCGAGGCAACAACTTTGTCTAAAAAACTAGCGACTTCGAAAGGTGGTGGAGTAGTTTCAGGGTTCACTGCAGAGCAACTCAATACGCAGGTTTCACATCTCAAAAGTAGACTCGCCTGCCCAGTATGCAATGTGCGAGACAAAAAATGCATATTGCTACGATGCAGACACATGTTTTGTAAACAGTGCGTGGATGAAAACGTTAAGAATCGGAGTAGAAAATGTCCAGCTTGCGGCGGAAGGTTTGACACCAAAGACATCGCAGATATTTGGCTTTGAGAATGAGATTGCTTCTGTCRTTTTCTTCTGATTTGTASTATTATAAGGTAGCCTACCTACGCCTGAACTATWAGTCTGGTTGCATCATGGACTATTGAACTATTTGCCTTCTTGTAGAGTTACTCTTTCCCTATTGCTTCTCTCTTCCGTGACGTGTAAGATACGTCGATTTATTCATTTTCGAGAAACCCGTGACTCAATTTTTCGTCCAAGACTCATTATTACACGTGTAAAGGATTCTAACACGTATGTCATCGCGTACAATTTGTGATGTCCGAAGATGATACCCAAGCACAGCAGCAACCATCAAACTTGAACCGTGTTCCTTACGATCCGTGCAATGAAAAAGAAAACGGCGAGACTCTGGGGCAGCTCACCGCTACATAAAGTTTGCAGCCGTCGTTCGCCATCGTGAACGTAGAAAGAGAGAATAAGGGCGGTAACAAAATATCTGAAGTAGGGAATTAGTCATCATGTTGCGAGTATCTGCATTCACAGCGTTAATGCTTCTCGGCCTCGGCCATGGCTCCCAGGCCTTCCAACCGATTCGGTCYACAACAAAGCGAACCGTCGCCATGAGGAGTTCGCGCCCCGATGTTAGCGAGTTTGATTTTATCCTGGGAGAAAACGATTCGTCTCAGCARCAGCAATCGATTGTTCGATCGCGACGCAAAATCCAGTTGTCTGGCGACGATGCCCGTAGTGATCGTGTGACTGTATTGGCTAGTAGCACATTTGCCGCACCTGGTTTGGAGGAAGAAGTCGCTGGAGTCGAGGAAGAAGCCGATCCTTACGCCGACATGCTTGAAGAGAGCTCGACTATTGCACGATACGAACAAAAGGAGGAAGATTTATCTTTCATTGAAAGAACTTCAAACAAACTCAAAGAAATGGATATGCAAGACGTAATTTCAACGTTGATCGTTCCTTCGATCTTTGTTGCAGCTGGTGTTAGGTGGGGCGTTACGAAGGCGTCAGGGAAAGTCTCTGATCAGGCTGATGGCTCTTTAGAAGATTTTGCCAACGAAATGGTTTACCATGATGGAGACTTCGAAGAAATGAAACTTTGCGTAAATGCTTACAATAAAAAGTTGATGTGGCTTGGACCCAACAAGTCCAAGACGATGCTCAAAAAATACCTCAAGCTCTATTGCAAGAAAAGAATTGTSAGCCCTCAAGCTATCAGGTGAGTGCTTTGATACTAATTATGTCAACTTATTCAAATCAAAAAAATRTGTTTAAACGGGATTTGAAATCATGCACCTTTTCGARAAGTCGGGCTTACTCATCTATKCGTGAACTTYYCCCATTTTTCGWATTTCAGTTCTCTTTCGTATGTTTTCAGTCTGTTCAAGTTGTCWGAAGATAAAGCGGCGGCAATCATGGTGTCACTCTGCGAAGATATGGGAGTCGACGGACTCAGTACTGCACAGAAATTGCTTTTCTTCGGAACGAGAATCTTGAAAAGTGCCGAAGGAAAAGCTGCCCTAGATCCAATCCGCGAAATTCTCAYGAGCTCTTACCGGGGGGAGGGAATGGTTGCTGAATCAATGGTAGAAACATCCCAAACAGCAATGGCAGAAAACGCTTACAAAACTGCCGTWGTAAATGGAGGAAAAGATCAGACAAGTCTGACGGTTGGATGGGAAGTTCTGGGGCTTGACAAGGAAGAAGCCATGCGCATCTTTGAGGAAGAGGCTGAAGCAGGCTTTATTTCTGAGCGAGAAAAGTTGTACGGAGGGCAATCACAAAAGTATGACGACAAAGGAAACARAATCGACGATGATGGTAATCTCGAAGATCCCGAAAACGCTATCGGTGCCGATGAACCCGAAAAGCCAGCGAGCAATGTAATGGAATGTACAGAGTGTAGTTACACATTATTCATTGCGAAGGGAAGAGAAGCGAAATTTTTCGGTGATAACTTCAAGTGCCCTGAATGCGGAGCCGACAAAGACAAATTTGAACCAAAAGACATGAGTGACTAAGTATCGATTGTTGTTAGTAAAATTATAAAATGCTATGATAGACTCAAATAGTACTTCTGATATTTGTAGACGTGGCGTTCTTGTTGAATTGAGTATTGAACCATACTATTTTTGAGCAGTAGAGCACAAATTCTCCATGATCTCATTACATTCAGAGAGTAACAAGATGCATGGTATAAATTCAGTTTCCTTTCTGGAAGTGATTGATGAATCTCAGTCAGTGCAAGGAGGAGGAACTCTAGTGAAATATACTTATATCTTTTATTTTCAATTGCTGTTACTATGACAGTGGGGGGAATTGTGATTAAAAGTTGAACCSTAGTAATAGAGTGAGCTTGTGGCACATTTCGTAGCTAGTCGAKTACTTCTACTACTGTAGTACTGTACTACTACTCGTGATTWAGTCACACACGTTTGACCCAATTTAGTCGAAWGTTTTCGGCTCATAACCCATTATTCAAATTGGATTGCTCGCGCCCTCCATTTTCTCCTTAAATTTGCTGGTAATCTGTTCTGTTGCCAACSCCAAYCAGTGCGTAACGGCATTCAGCAGATACACCGTAGWCGAACCATTCTGTGGTCCTTCAAAACCGCTGCGTCAAAACCGTTCGGATGGTCGTCGTTGTCTGCGGCAAAAGATRTGCATTCGACGGGATTCGAACCCGCGCATACGAATATATTCGAACTTGAGTCGAACCCCTTAGACCAGCTCGGGCACAAATGCGTTGCACRACGGTMYGATCCTGTGCATTATCATCTGTTTCATATCTGCAGCGGTGCACATGCGGCAAATGCTGTCTCTCAAAAACCTAAAATGTAAAATGTTGATCGATTGCATTCCTCCATGAAACTAMAAAGCWTTATGTTAATTCTWATTATCGCTATTCTGGCTACTAGGGTCTACTATTCTYCTGTGGCTGTCTTACACGCTTTCCAACTCGTCATTGATACCTGATCCAGTTGCCCRRTAGCGCCCGCCTTGTCTTCTCCAAGCCCTCCTATCATCGGATCAAATCTGCCGTGCCATGAAAYTCACTGTATCCGGGAATKGTGGAAGCGACCGGYAGATCGTTCCAGGTCGGTCGTCAACTTTTGTACCAGTTGTTCCGTGRCGAATGCTTTTTCTCGCACCCCCACGATAACCGGATCGGACTCTGCCGAAACATGGAATTCGCTGTATCCAGGAATGATGGAGGCACCCCGTTTGTCGTCCCTCCTCTTGGACTTGGCAACGCGTTCCGCAAAATCCTTCTCTAGCTCTACGAGTTTGTTGAGCAGGTTTCCTATCCAGGACAGCAGCTCGTCCACGTCGCTGTTATCGTCCCGAGTCCCGTCGCATGGGATCGGAAATTCGTCTGCCAAGAGGTTGCGCTGGTACTCCCATGCCCGCGTTTCCTCGCAAYCGTTAGCRTCCCAGGGGAACGGGGGCCATTCCACTCTCGTCGCGGAGAAATCTTCGGTCGGTCTGCCCGCGCTCGWTGGGGTCCGAAACTCTTGTCGAATGCGGTCGAYCATYGATAGGATTGGTTCGGAATCGCCACCAAACGCGTTGCTGCACCAGGCAAGCAAGCCTTCMAGCGCATAGAGCTGGATGCAGTTGTCGTAGGCCTTGATTCCCCCGTCCCTAGCCCGTTCCGTCAGTGCACATGCGCCGACACCCGAAACGCTCTGCAGCGGGATGTAATGCTCGTGGTCGGTCGGCAGCTGCGTCTTTCGCAGCAGTTTTCTAGCGTGGCGGCACCGTTCCACGGTATCGGGCCGGAGTATTTTCCAGCCCGTGTAATCRGCGTGGCGTGTGGCCTTGCGCCGGGTAGCATATTTCTTGTCGTTGCGGACGAGCGTATAMGGAGAATGCTGCAGGACCCAGCCCGGAACWATGTCGTTGCGRGAGCGAGAGGAGGAGGAGAACGTTGATGATTCGACAACCAGGGAAAAGGGCATGGTGATGCGCTGGGGGGGCAGCGTTGTTCCGGCTGCGACGATGGAGTACGGRGCCTGSGACAGGTCAACAGGAAGCTTGACGACGCAGCTCAATCCCCAGAAAATCCCTTCCCCAGCAGTGCATTCCTGGTCCGGGAGCCGMCCGGTGTGGTTCGAACCGACATTTGCACCGTACGCAACGTTCCCCCTTCCCATCGGCCACAACACGCCTACCAACAGACTCTGGTGGTGGGCATTGGTGTTGGGACCGAAGACAGAGGCGTGGATCTCCCCAGCGGATGCGTGGGAGTCGGGGCCCATAATCGTCGATTCCAGTATGCTGGAAGGTCCGCAGTGGGAATGCTCCATCATAAGGACGTTGCTGATTCTTGAGTTGTCCRTRATKGTGGCGTTCCACTGCATCAAAACGTTTGATGCCACCGACGCGTTGCCGATTTTGGAATGGCCAAACAATGTCGAATCCACCACCGARCACGCCGATTCRATGGAAGAGAAGGGATGGAGAAATACGTTCCGAACCGTGGGAGTGTCGCGAATCATCGATCCATGAGAAACAACATTGAACGCAAATGGTGAGGATGCCGATGATGGATCCCGTGGTTCTTGGTGGTGGTCGGCTGATCCCAACTGTCGGGCCACGTCGTGCATGGTCGATTCCGCGGTGAGCAAGAGGGAACGGCCGCCCCCGCTTTCGGCTCCGACGGTGATAGCGATGGTTCCGAATCCATCCTCCCCCCCGACGGAYGCCGAGACGTGTCCGTTGTTTGCGAGCACCGTCTCCGATCCGACAAAGGTCCTCGACACGAAGAGATTCCGATAGACGCGGCAGCTCCGTAGCGCAACGATGGACTCTGAAACACAGGCGTTGGAGTGCAGACCGGGTGGAAGMTGCGACCACTCGCTGGTTGCTGTGTTGGTTTCCCCCATGCTGCCATCTTCGTCGTCGATCTTCGTGGTCAAGTCMAGGACGACAAACCCGTCGAAATGGGTGTTTGACACCAGGGATTTTAGGTCGAGACTCGTGTCGACGTTCCGGTTCGTGCAAGCGGTGGCACCCGCGCGTTTCGTGGCAGTAGGCAACAGGACATAGAKTTTGGACMAGTCGTTGTTCGCACAGGAACATCCGCAGACATTCTTTAGCACCTCGCGTTCCCCGCGAGACAACTTCCGAAGAAAGGAATTCCCATCGTTCACGGGGAGGATCGATGATGAGCTCCTCGGGGGCTGCGGCCATCCCGGCCACAACGACCAGCAGACAWSRTTTTTGCCTTCTTCCTCGCCGGGKTTTTCGAAACTTGTTTCCAGTATGTCCCGCTGCACTAGATCGACTATGGATTGGATGCGACGGAGTTGTTCCCTGCGATAGGATGCGGTGGCCTGGAAATCGCTACTCGTATCTTGTTTCATCCTTCGGATCGATCTCAGAAATGGGTGCAAAATCCTTATCGGCTCGAAATCAAGCAATTCCTTGGTTCTTGAACACAAATTGCTTCTTGTTGTTGTGTAGTTGCTGACCTCCGACCATCCATGAAATTTGTAAGGTGTGCCAGCCGATTTCTTCCAATACTGAGATGGAACAGAAACAAGTCCGATATTCAATTCTCGAGTCATTGCTGTATTTTTATTCACGAACAGGATTGGGTCGCCAACGCAAATAGTTCCTACCGGTACATCGCAAAAACTATAGTACTAGTAGTGCATGATATTTTCTAAGATCCCAGTGCATGATATGAAGTTGTTGATAACTTCCATATTATTGTTCTTGTCAGAATGACAGCAGTATGCATATCCTCCAGGTTTCTGATGCCAGCTGACTAAGAACCTGACGAGATTGAAATAATACTGTCTTATCTTTGAGGAAGGCACTGACAACTATTGGGTTCCAAACTATACTGCCCACTCCTCAAACCTTGGTCAACTGTGTTGCAGAATGGTTTGCTTGGCACTTCCAGTGTTACTCCTGAAGAATACTCCAAGAGTCTCCATCTGGCAAAACACTAGTACTACTACTAGTAGTATTAGACTAACATCAGTTGGCATCATCTTTTTATGGACTATTTGCAACAAATGGGATACTGGGGTTTACATGGATTCTACTACACAGAAAACAAGTTTCTTTTTGTTTCTCCCCAAAGTCCAGAGCAGTAAGAATTCTTCAAGGTTACTGGTGGCTCCTATGCACAAGTGAAAAGTGGCAGTCCAGTGCACTGTACTAGTAGCCAATAATCCAACATCAGAAGTTTCTTCAAAACAATAAGTCTTTGGCACAGAAATTCATGTCCACCACCACCAGCACGATCACAAGAAGGAAAACCAAATGATGAAGCTGGTAGTGTGCATAGTTAGTACGACTGCAGTGCAAGCAGTAATAAGTGAGTGCAAAAAGGGAAACATATTGTGAATGAGTAGTACAAAATACTAGTACTACTAGTAAGAAAAAGAATTTCTTCACAAGAAGAGGCGATATCACCAGTAGCAAAGAATTCTTAGTGAAACTTGCAACTTTCTGCTGGCTGCTTCTTGTTATTTCTAAACTACTATAGATGAATTATATTCATTTTTTTGGAATTTTTGTCTSTGGCGTAGTTTATTGCTGTAAAAAGAATAGGTATTCTTCTCACTACAAATAGCAGAACACTRCTGGGGATRGTGGCTTGGAGAAGCTCTAATCACTCTTCTTTAAAGCACAACATAAATCCAATTGCTTGTGGAGAAACAAAAACAGGTTGGAACCAAGAACAAATTTTCCAAATATCTTCCCTGTAACTTGTGAACAGTTCCTTCATTGGCAATGTTGATTGGGAATTGAGTTGTTAAGTGTACTATTCCCTTGTCACTTGTTTSAGTTTGGTGCTKGGTATCATTCAAATCGTGTACTTATACAAAGACAAGGGGTGAGTTGATGAGGGTGACTGGCCACATGATGAATTGAGATACTCATTCATACTAGGAGTACTAGTAGTAATACTAATAGTACTAGTAGCAAATGATACTATCTCAKTGTCATCATTTTCCAACAGTGCTTTTCCACCTTTGTATGAACTTTCAGCCTCTTATATTATCTGTTTGTAAACTGAGTTTGATTTTAGTCTAGATGTCTTGTCCATGTTGTCAACAAAATCTTGCTGAATTTGTTTCAGGAAAATTTACTTGGACTAGTAAAACTGCCATCATTTGAGAATAGGGGAACTGTTGTCAAAATTGTCATCTTTGGTGTAGAGAATATTATTTTCTGTTGACTACTCAAATGATGCCTATACTACTTTGTTGAAGATGCCTTTARTGTTATGTTTTGGAGAAAATGCATCTTGATCACTGGGGGCAAATTTCCCCAGTAGTACAAATACCATTGCTTGGGTTGAAGTTTCTTGTTTAGACGTTGTTTAGTAGTAGTAGTTACTTTGTGAAAGAGTGCTCTCAGATCCAATTTGATCATCAAGTGATTTCTCTTCCTAATCAGTAATTTCTTCCTTGGAGGAGAAGTAATGCTTGTTCTTATACTGGTATTTTATTACTTTTGTTCTTTGTCTGYCTGTTCAACATTTCTATCAAAAATACTRTTGCGGTAGTTCTGGATGATTCTGTGTGCACCTGTTATAAWAGAAGTGATTTTGAACTTTGAAACCAAAGCAAATTCTACTTCTTATTGACAGGAATGGCTGTTGATTCGCCAGTGTGCTATTAGCTTATGAGTCTTTGGTCACAATGATGGCAGGAATGGTTTTGCTGTTGCCTTCAGCATGGTCATGGCAGGCCTGGAATGTCACATTATTGAAAGAGAAGAAGATGGCYACAGATGCAACGGCAATGACAATGGAAAAATATTGCCACCACCCAGTAATGGCACCAGCTTCCTACTAGCCTGGAAAAGATTCTGTACTGGGACTCATCAGCATCCTCCAATGCAGCTCTTGTTTCTACCAACAAATCCATAGTGGCAGTCATGCTGACTCACACAGCTAGTACTAGTGCCAGTATTACAGTTTGNCGATATTCAATTCTCGAGTCATTGCTGTATTTTTATTCACGAACAGGATTGGGTCGCCAACGCAAATAGTTCCTACCGGTACATCGCAAAAACTACTACACTACTACTGTACTAGTAGTACTACTACCTCCTCATGGAGATAAGTTATTACTATTACTATGTGACGTACTACTAGTGCCAGCAAGGTGGAAAGTAATGAGCTGAAAGAATTAGGTCTTTTGCAGTTCGCTTCAAGTGGAAGTCGAACTGTTATCATCCAGTGGCATAAAATGTATTTGTGCTGGTGGAAGAAACTGTTATCTCCTTTCAACAAAGAAACAGCGACTATTGGCTCTGTATATTTTCTGGAAGAAACAGTTTATAGAGCCTAAAAACAGCCATTCATTTTGTACTATGGTCTATGTTAAAAAAACTTCATACCAGATTTTTAGGTTTCTTTCTACCCCCTCAGACTCCCCTTTCCATCAACAATTTCAGTCGAGAAAAAACTATTCTAGTATTTTTTTCTTCTCGACTTCCATGATTTAGAAGCTACAGTAATCAACAATGAAAGCACTGTGACTGCTTGTAGTTTCTGATTTTCATTGATTTGTTGTGTATGTTGAGTGCTTTACTAGTAGTAGTAGTAGTATTCTTGTTGTTGTTGTTGGTGGTGGTGGTGGTGCTGTTGCTGCTGGTGCTGTAAACAAAATAGTATGCTGGCATGTTTCTGCATTTTCTTGTTGTTTTGTTTATCTTCAGTTTTTCACTTGAGGCCTAAGTTGCAATAGTGTGAGTGATCTGACACTCTATCATTTATATTTTTTTAGTGTTCCATCATGCATTGCACACTTGTCTAGTACATTGCTGTATGTTGCATACTACTAGTACTAGTACTAGTACTAGTAAGCAATATCTTCTGTGGGTTTGTCCCAAGGTTATACAATTCTTGAAATGATAATTTGAATATGCTCTTCTTTCAAGTCATTTGTTTTTGAACTGTCAAGAATCTCCCCTCAAATCACATCATATTTTAACCTGTGTCTAATTTAAGTTCAAGAATTATGTTTTTTCTTTCTCGTCTCCTCTAAAGATAGAAATCTTTTTTTGAGAAGAGGGAGGAATCTCCTCCCACTGGTCTGAGTTGGTTGAAGTCACCTGCAAAGTCAATGGATAGTAGATTGCAATAGAAAATGTGATTGCTTGTCATAGAAAAAGTTCAGATATTAGTTCAATATGAACTGCTCTTTATTGCTGTTCATAGTTGCCTTGAGATCTCCTGGCATATAGTAGTAGTAGTAGTAGTAGTAGTAGTACTTGTTGTTGTAGCTGTTATCAATCTTCCCTTGGAGTCCCTCCTTTCCTTTAATCAATTCGATGAATGCACAAATTTTTTAAGTGTCAACACACAAGCAGCAACAGTCTACCACCAGCAGCTAGTCTACCTATGCATTTTCCCTGTCCCTATCATTTTCAAAATCCAAATTTGCACCATAGTACTAGTAGTGCATGATATTTTCTAAGATCCCAGTGCATGATATGAAGTTGTTGATAACTTCCATWTTATTGTTCTTGTCAGAATGACAGCAGTATGCATATCCTCCAGTTTTCTGATGCCAGCTGACTAGTAATAACAACCTGATGAGATTGAAATAATACTATCTTATCTTTGAGGAAGGCACTGACAACTATTGGGTTCCAAACTATACTGCCCACTCCTCAAACCTTGGTCAACTGTGTTGCAGAATGGTTTGCT